GCAAATTTAATGAGTAGTCCTTCTACCCCTTCATCCAGATCATTGATAAAAATATTGAAAAGTACCAGGCCTAAAACTGAGCCCTGCGACACCTCACTGGACACCTCCCTCCAATCTGCTCAAGCCCCCTCCCCTTCGGAGTTTAGAATGTTTCCTTTGGAGGATAAAGTGGAACTTCCAAGTTATCTTATTCCCTCACCCCCAACAGAATTACTATAACTAGTAGCACCATAGATTCGGCATGTCCTCCTCCCCTTAGCTACTCCCCTGGCTTTGGATCTGTTGAGCGTTTCCATCAGGTATGCTTGCTCAGGCCTTCTGTTGATTCAGCATTTTGTTATGGTAGTTGAGTAGCCTCAATTGTTTCTTTGCTCGTGGTTTAATAATTAATGTTGTTACCCCTCTCTCCTGGTGTCCTGCTGTTTTACAGAGAAGCTGCCTGTGTTTATACTGATTTGCTTTTATTGCTGCCTTAATTTGCTTTCCTTTTGCTTCTAAATGATCTGACATGCAGTATTTTATTTATCAATACAGATTCAGGTGGGTGGCCATGCTGGTCTGAAGCAGGAGAACAACGTTTGAGTCCAGTGGCACTTTTAAGACCAACCAAGTTCTGTTCGTCCATTTATCAATACAGTTATTTTTGAGTTGTTTGTTGGGATGGATTTTAACTTGTTTATACTATTTTATATTGCTTTATGTTGTAAGCTGCCCCAAGGGACTTGAAGCTGAGTGAAAGATGGCAGAAGTTTATCTGATAATAAATAAAATGGCTAGCCTCGATATGATAATAACAGCAATAAAGTCAGGCAACCCAGAAGTAGGGAGACAGGGAGGCCACCACCCAGCTATTGCAGGAAAATATATATTTGTACATTATTTTTTTAAAAAAAACAAAACCTTTAAACCGGCCTCCGGAAGACGGGAGTGTGCTCCAGACAGATGGAAATGCAGAGGCTAGGGTTCACTGTAACGAAACGCGGGAGGAGCGAAGGCAGCGCATAGAAACCTGGAAAAGGAGGGCGGATGGGATTTCCAGCCCATTCCTGAGATTCCTCTGGGGGCCTCCTAGTTTGTGAAATCCTACTGGCCAGTCATGTCCTATTCCGAATGGTGACAGAAGCGACCAATGACAGCTTGCGACTCTAAGGCGGAGCTATTTGAAACGTTGCAGAAAGTGAACGCGCCTGCGCTGGAAGTTTTCTTCCTTGCGTACCATCAGGGGGCGCTACTCGACAGCCTCTGCATGCGTCTTGCCTCCGGAAATCGTCCATGTTTTACTATCGAGCTCTCTATAGTTACCTTTCCTCCCGCCCCGCATTGGCACCGGAAGGAAATGGGGGGGAACGGTGCGCTTTGAATAGTATGTTTCGTTATTGGTCAGTCTTCCCATTTAACCCAATAGGATGGCTGGCAGCTTAAATTAGGCCTGCCTTAACCCGCCATCTTGCTGCTTGTTGGGTCGGTGGCTGAGCTGGACTTTTTCCTGCCGAAAAGGATTTAGTTATGCCGCATTATCAGACCTGGGAGGAGTTCAGCCGCGCAGCCGAAAAGCTGTACTTGTCTGACCCTATGAAGGTACTCGACAGTGGGAAGGGTGATCCGTGGCAGGTGGAGCTGGATACAGAAGCTGGGAAGGGTTGGTGGGGTTTGGCTTGAAGAGCAGAGGGAGCAAATATGGGGCTGATGAGGCTTTTCCCCTGCCGGTGTGTGTGACTCGTGAGAGCGCTTGCCTTGTGTTGCATTTGTCCTTTTGTACTTAAAGTTCTTTCCGTAAATAAAAATTCGGATCTGCAATGAATTGAACGGTTGAGATGTATTTATGGAAGCTTTTCCTCATTTATGGCTTGTAATATTCCCCTGCTGTTAGAATGGCTTTCTTTCTGGAAAGCAAAAACTTTTCTGTAAATGTTTGGAAGCTACTTAAAACCACACGAACTGAAGCCCAGATAGAATGCTTTCCCCAGGTTAGGAAAGGTACTGCTAAGTCTAAAACGATGCCAGTGTGTTTAACAACTCAAGTCAAAGAAGCCACGAGAGGCAAAAAGGCTTCTTTTTTAAAATGAAAGGTCTTCCCCAATAAAGTGAACAGAGGGAACACAGAGTCTGTTATGCAAACAAAAAGAGAATTTGAGGAGCAGTTTGCTAAAGCATCAAGACAAGTCATCAACATTTATATATAAATCTATTTGCATGAAATATATAATTTTTATATATTTATGAACAACTGTATTGGTGTAGGAGAGAGGCAGTTGGTCCTTTGGATGATCAAGGAATAAAATGGCTGTTAAAAGAAGATGGGGAGGTGGCAGAGAAGCTAAATTAGTTCTTTGCCTCTGTGTTAACTGTAGAAAGTGTAGGGCATATACCAGGTTAGAGCAACTCTTGTCAGGAATGGAGTAAAATTGAGGTGAAGAGAGAATAAATTCTCGACCAGCTGGGGAAATTAAAAACCAATAAGACTCCTGCTCCTGATGAGATACCCCCAAGAGTTCTTTGGGAACGCTGCTGTGAAATCGTTGAACTATTAAAAAGTATAGATCAAGATGGTATAACTTGTCACTAAAATCAGCCAGTATATCAGAAGACTGGAGAATAGCAATGTTACAATGTTTTTTAAAAAGGGGAACCAGGAAATTACAGGACACTTAGACTAACATTGGTCCCAAGCAAATTAGTAGATGAAAGATAGAATTATTAGGTATGTGGAGGAATGAAGCCTGCTGAGGGAAAATCAGCATGGCTTTTTCAAAGGGAAATTGTGCTTCACCAATCTTTTGGAGTTCTTTGAGAAAGTGAACAAGCATAGATAAGTGTGACCCTGTAGACATTACATAAAGGTACAAATACCATTTATTGCATATAGCCAAAGGCCATTACAACTGAACACAACGAACATAACATTGCTAAAATAATTGTATCTAAAATATTTATCAGTTTCACTCTTTGGATCAAACATTTACTCTCTGGATACAAGTTTTTTCATATTTTCTCAGCTGAAGTAAATGTTATATTCTTGGACTTTTGAAAGGCTTTTTACAAAGCACCTCATCAAGCCTTCTAAGTATGTGTAGCTGTCATAGGATAAGAAGACAAGACCTCCTATGGATTAAAATTTGGCTGAATGAAAGGAAGTAGAGTAGGAATAAATGGACAGTTCTCTCAGTGGAGGGAAAGCAGTGGAGTTCCACAAGGTATTGTTTTGTTCATAAATGATCTGGAACTGGGGGTGTGCAGTGTAGTGGCCAGGTTTGCAGATGACACAAAAATTATTCAAGATTGTGAAAATCAGCTGTGAGGACCTCCAGATAAATAACAAATGAAGATCAATATAGCCAAGTGAAAGGTGATGCACATTAGAACAAAAAATCCCAACTTTAAATACATACTAATGGCATTGGATCAGACAACCACAGTCTCATCAGATCTCGGAAGCTAAGCAGGGTCTTTTAGTACTTCAGTGGGAGACCACCAAGGAAGTCCAGGTTTGCTGCACAGAGGCAGGCACTGGCAAAACCACCTTTGGATGTCTCTTGCCTTGAAAACCCTATGGAGTTGCTGCAGCTTGACTGTACTTTACACACACACACACACACATGCAGTGGGATCTGAGCTTGCTGAGACAGAAAGAGACCTTGGGGTTATAGTGGATAACTTAATGAAAATAAAACCAGTGTGCAGCAGCTATAAAAAGACAAACTCTGTGCTTGGGGTTATTAGGAAAGGGGTTGAAAATAAAACAGCCAGTAATATAATGTATGAAATCTATTAATTTTGATTCCTGCAGTTTCTCACTATCTCAAAAAGGACATTACAGAGCTGGGAAAAGTACAGGCGGCTAAAGAGTCTGGTACTGTTCGGTTTAGGAAAAAGCCAACTAAGGGGGACATGATATATAAAACTAAGCATGGGGTAGAGAGAGTGGACAGAGAACTTTTCTCCCTCTCCTAAAATACTAGAACGTGGGGGTATTCAATGAGGTTGAACAGTAGATTGACAGACAAAAGGAAATCCTTCTTTACTCAGCAAGTGACTAAAATGTTGGTAGAATATCTTGTGTGGTTTGTCAATGTAAAGTTTATCAAAGGCTGCTGTCTGAAAGTGGTTCTATTTGTGATCAATATACAGATATGCCTTTTTTATTTGACTTTGCATAAAAACCCGTTTGTTCTTATGGAAACTGTTTGTCCCTGGATTAATAAAATAATGTATGTTTAAAAGGAGGGCATTTTGGAGGGCCACATGTAACTCCCTATGTTTTCTTTTCAAACTTGTATGTTTAGGTCAGGGGAGTTAGTAATACTGTGTGTAAACTAAACTTACTTTGACCTTTTTGTTTGCATTTGGGTGTGTTTAAGGTAAGGTAAAGGTAAAGGTTCCCTTGCTCGATGGACAATCTGATATAGAGGATGTTCTTGGATGGTTAATGTGTTCATTCTTAGCCAGATGAATTTAAATTTTAACCCAGGTGATTAGAAGCAGCTGTATGGAATTATGAATCATTACTATTCAGCTATCTCTCAAATGTGCTTTCTTGGTATATGGTGGAGGAATTGTACCACGTTTCTGCTGCCAGTGCAACTGTATTGTCTTAAGGTCTGTAAGGCAGTTGGATATGTCAGCCATGTAATAATTGAATTTTAGTGTAGTTAATACTGCTTTTCCAAAAAAAGAGTTAAAAAAGCAGAAAAGTGTTTGTCTTGAATACGATGGACAATCTGATATAGAGGATGTTCTTGGATGGTTAATGTGTTCATTCTTAGCCAGATGAATTTAAATTTTAACCCAGGTGATTAGAAGCAGCTGTATGGAATTATGAATCATTACTATTCAGCTATCTCTCAAATGTGCTTTCTTGGTATATGGTGGAGGAATTGTACCACGTTTCTGCTGCCAGTGCAACTGTATTGTCTTAAGGTCTGTAAGGCAGTTGGATATGTCAGCCATGTACTAATTGAATTTGAGTGCAGTTAAAAAAGAGTTAAAAAGGGAGAGAAGTGTTTGTCTTGAATACAGCTTATCAAATCCTTCGACTCTAAAAAGTAGGCAGTTGTCAAGGAGCCGAACAGGCTGACCACGTAAGTTCCCAGGGCAAGAGCACACAAGTAACCAGACTGATGTTATTACACAAATTATGAAATTCATTGAAAAAATACATACATTAATATGAATATAGCCAACAAATCAACAAAAGCCACACAGAATACAAAACAATAAAGCTAGCTTTTATCTACCTAACACTTTTGAGAACTGTTAGGTGGTAATACAAAACTTACATCCAGATGCAGGCCTAAAATTAGCATAGACTACAATTTCAGCAGTTTGCCAAGCATAGATTCAGGCCTCTATCCATGAAGTCTCAGACAAGGAACCTTAACCCTTGGGGAGATATCATAATTATAGTTTTTGACCCCTCAAGTCAGGTGATGGTGATATCCAGTCCTAACATGCCTTCAGGAGAATTCTACAGAACCGTACATCATTGCTGCTGATCTACCCCCTCCCAACACTAGGAACACATTCTAATGAAAAGCAAATGTATCTGGCCTTGGACTGATAAGTTGCTGGCAGGTCGAAGCCCTTAATTAAGGACAGTTGCACTCTCCGAGCTCTCTCAGCCCCACCCACCTCACAGGGTGTCTGTTGTGGGGAGGGGAAGGGAAAGGAGTTTGTAAGCCGCTCTGAGACTCCAAGTGAAGGGCGGGGTATAAATCCAATCTCTTCTTCTTCTTCTTCTTCTCTGACTGGTAGTGGCTCTCAAGGGTCCCAGGCTGAGATCTTTCGCATCACCTACTTCCTGATCCCTTTAAGAGGAGATGCTGGGGACTGAACTTGGGACCTTGTGCATACCAAGCAGATGTTCTGTCACTGAGCCACTGCCACTCCCCAGATCCTAGACTGACACTGTAACCACTGCACCACTCCGACTGTTCTTGACCACTCGTCTAGACACTTGCCTATCTTGATTTCTGTGCTTCCACGTACTGCTGCTCCTTCAGTATTCCCTGAGCTACTTTAAGAAAAGAACTGTTCAGAGAATGATAGCTAGAGAATCTTGGGATCAGAGCTGTTCAGCCAGTTATTTTTCTGTGACATTGGGGCAGCTCTGCCAACCATTGTCAGAGGCTTAATCACCACTGCACTGTCCCTTTTTAATATTCTAATATAGATTGTAGTTTTTAAGATAAGTCTCACCACCCTTCCTACAGATCTGGGTATCAGACCTGAACCTTCATGTATGTTTAAGCTTCATTAAATCCTTGTTATAGCTGCCACTGTGAAGCAGCAGTTGTTTTCCTCTTTTCATACTTGCATGATATGCTGCTATTCTAGTGACGAAATGATTTTACTACTACTGGAAAGTCTTCTGTCCCAAATCCTACTAAATTGTTGGATAGTCTCATATCCTGCAAGAGAGTAGTCTTCACTCCTTCCAGATTCAGGACTGACAATCTCTAGGCAGCAGCATTGGAATCACTAAGCTGCAAGCGTGGAGGAAGAGGAAAAATCAGATTTCTTCTGGTCACCTGATGGGAAGGGGAAAGAATTATGATCTTAGCTGAGGCCAGGGCAGAGGGCAGCAGACCAAGAGAGGCAGGGAGAGGAAACAGTCCAAGCACCAGGTGGTATGCCACAGTGAAGGACAAGCCAGCAGTTGGTGCCTCTGCCCTAAAACATTTTGCCTTCCTGTGTTTGATTTCAGTATTCAAGGCACTATCTTCCTATGCACTCTTTTAAAGTGTAAATCCAAATGTACTTGGGTGTGGGTTGTTTTTTTTTACAATAGCTGCTAATTTATTTCCTTAAATTAAAAAAACCCTTAAACTATAGTGTTGCATTAAGGTAAGTTTGTAAATCAGCACTTTCCTGGATGTTTGAAGTGTATAGGCAATTGGGGAATAAAGCATTATTTTAGTAATTTAGTATACTAAGTTAGAGCGTGCTCATGAACACTGAAGAGGCACATGTGGGCAGGTGAGCTAATTAAAATCACAGGGTAGGCTTGTAACTTAGACTGTTACAAATTGGGGTTCAGGAATTGAAATGTTTTCGAAGTTGCTGTGTGAAAGCAATGGCTGTACAGATGTTATTTATTGTCATTTAAAATGGTGACTGTCATTTCAGGTGCGTGTGGTACTCAAATACCGACACTGTGATGGAAATCTTTGCATCAAAGTAACAGATGATGCAGTTGTAAGTAAAAGTTTCTTTGTACCACACTTGTCACTTCCTCTTGTTTAGCCCTTGTGAGCATTTTTTGCCTTGTAGCTGAAAAGTGGGGGAGGGGCTCCTTAACCCTTTCCCTCCTCCTGCTTAATTGCTGAAGGTCCCCAAACTGCTTTCCCATCTGTGAGCAAAAAGATGCTGGATACCCACAGCTCTTCTGCAGAGGAGCAAAGCAGCTTGAGGATTTTGAGGATAAAATGTAATGGTGATGTTAATGGTTACCTAGTTTTTCTCTTCTCCTCCATCCTTATCCTTGCTGCCTTGAAAATTGCTTCTGATCCTGCGTTTCACTTTAGTGTGGATTGAAGCAACTGTTTACACACCTCCTGAGTATTCTGTTTTTTGGCCCTAAAACTCCAAGGAGAATTGTTTCTATGAGCTTCATAACATTTTTTTTAAATATTCCATGGGTGGTGGTGATGGGTACTTTCCAAGAAAGCATTACACACTTTCTACACTTTAATCTCAGAATTAACCATAAGTGAACCTTAGAACAACATCTACTGCTGCCATTTTTTGTTTGTTCACTTAAACTCTTTTTAGCATTATTCAAACATGACCCTGCAGTATTCAGGAACTATATATCTGTGTAAACCCTAAGAATGGTCAGTGTTTAATTAAGCTTTGTAGGGTGTCTAATTACAGTGCTGTATCTAATTGCCGTTCATTCACTGAGGACATCAGTGCCTATGTCAGTCTGACAGATCAGTAGTTAGCTGTGGTTCCAACAGTGACCACTTACATCTCTCAGAAAGTTCAGGTATAAAATAGGACACAGTTGTCTGTTTGCCAATATATCTGATATTACAAGGTGCATAGCCTCTGAACATGGTGGTTCCACTTAGGTATCATGTCTAATAGCTGCTGTTTGACCTAATTCTTCAGAAACTTTGTTCACACTCTAAAAACTTATAATGTAGCAGAGTTTGTTTGTAGAGAAATGGAATAGAACAGAAATGAGAAGAACAAGTCAAATGGAATCATGGGTCTGGTTGAAATGAGAAAACATATTCTGAATACCTGTTCTCGTATTTGACATTGATCCATAGCTAAGGGGAGAATAAGAATGTTGTGCTTTGTTTCTTGCCAGCCTGAATGCCTTACCTTTTAGACATACTCAGACTGTTTAAACAAAGTTGGTTCCATTCCAAATCTTATGATTCTTAAGTTGTTGAGTTTGCCAGTTTAACTGTTTTTAAACAAAAAACTTTGTGCCATTCATTTGCTGCACTTGAATTTAAACTAGACTGGCTTTAAAGCTTCCAGTGTCCTCCATTAAAATGGGACACAACTGTAGCAACAGTCCATGTTCAGCAATGATTATCTTATTATAATTCTGTCAACATGAACTAATTTCTTAATAGCAGCATGCTCATAAATCTATCTGTTTCTGAAGATTGTCATTAGTGTTTTGGATTCTAATTAAACCAACTTTAAAGGTATTTTTAATGGGAGAGAAAGGACCATATGCTTCACTTTATGATTGGGAAACAAACATGTTTAATGTTGGAGCATTGGTTGAAATTGTATAGCAACAGCTAATGCTGTGAAAAGGGGGGGACAGTAGCTGCTTGTCTTGGAGCCCCTTTTTTGGAAGTTGCTGGGAAAGGGAGAATAAGTGTGTGAATAAATCTTGTATAGCAACAGCTAATGCTGTGAAAATGGGGGGACAGTAGCTGTTTGTCTTGGAGCCCCTTTTTTGGAAGGGCTGGGAAAGGGAGAATAAGTGTGTTAATAAATCTCTAAGACTAGCACCTTGAGCTAGTGATCACTAGTAAGGTACATTTTAATGTGCAAGGCTCTAAAACTGCACTCTCTGAAAATATGTCTTTTAAAAAGAATTCTGCTGTAACAAAAGCATGCTGGTCAGGCTTTTGTAAACTGCTTTGAGCTGCCACTGTTAATAAATAAATGGATCTACACTCTTGGTACTTGAGTGCAATCGGGGAGAGCATGCATTGCATTCAGCTAAAAGTTAGTTTTGCTCTGAAGACTTGAATAATTGTTCTTACCATTTTTTTCTAGATAAGATGTTTAACCTTGCAACCGTGAATCACAGCAATTTAGATCTTTGATTCTGTCTTTTTATCTTCAAAATTTGAGAGCACAAAATAAATGGGGCCCGACACAGTGCAGTGTCTTTATTTCTAGTAGAAGCTTTCATTATGCCTTTTCTATAAGCTAATATTAGGTTCCTGTCAATCTACATGCACCTAAGTTTCTCTTCTATTTTCAAAGTGTCTTCTCTATAGGACAGACCAGGCTCAAGATGTAAAGAAGATTGAGAAATTCCACAGTCAACTAATGCGACTCATGGTAGCCAGAGAATCCCGCAGTGTTGCCATGGAAACGGACTGAATAGCTGGAGATAAAATGAATGCTCAGTCATCTTTTCACAGGAAGAAAACCTCTTGGGTTTGGGCAAATTTTGGAACAGAACAAATGTGGCATCAAGTGGATTATTAAAGTCTAAAGTGGGTTTGTGAGGATTTCCAGGCTCCACTTCAGAGTGGCTAGGAAATGTTTTGCTTTCATAAGAAAGCCTCTATTTATTTTTTTTAATTTGAGCAAATAAATGTCTTCTACAGAAAAATACTAAAGGTTAAAGTATTTTAGGCCATATTTGGGCATCTTCTAGTGTAAATACTGGGTTCTGTGTATAAAAACCAAAAAAGGTGCATTGTAAGATGCCATTTATACAGAAGGACTTCTGATTACTTGTTCTCGTTTGCTAACACAAAAAGAATGACTAGTTTCTGAAGTAAGCTTTATATATTAATATATTAGTAATAGCACCTTCCAAAATAAATTAAAATTGCCAAATTGTGGATAATTTCATGCATCTGACCTGTTGCATTCGGAACTGGTGTTTTCCCTTAAGTTACTCATTGTCCCGTGTCTGTTCAGTAGCCATATGAAAAAAGTAACTGTTTCTAGAAATAAATTCAGTATACTTCTAGGGCTTACTGTTAGGAAAGATGGTGAATAGATACATACCTCAAAAGCTGAGCCTCACAAAGAAGGCCATATGCCAAACTTATTCTGGTTGCCTTTTATTTTTAAGCTAAGACACATGCACAGCTTTTAGAGCGACCACCACAAAGATTAATCTCCTACACTACCCATTCTATAAGCGATATGGTGGTTCCTATCTTGTGAACTTTAAATTTCTCGTTATTGAATTGTTGTTGCTTAATACTAACTTTAAGCCTATGCTGGGGTATTCCATATTCAGTGTAATAGTCCCACTATAGATAGTATAGAGTTCTACCGATCAGAACGTCTGTGTTGGTGCTAAATCAATCAAGAGATCTGTCTTATACTGTCTTTCTGAATATCACTTACTCACATTTCAGGGAAGCATGTTACCCTAATGTGATAGAGAAACCAACCTTTACAGGCTGCTGATACAAGTTGGTGTACTGTTATTACCCCACTTGGGGTATTGATTAAAAGGTCAGCAAAATAACATATTTGGCAGTACAGTTGCTTCTCCTAATGTTTCTGCTGTCTCTAATGTAAGTTTGAATATATGCTTTACATATTTATTGGTGCCATCATTCCATGGCAGTTGACTTTCAGCTATATTTGCAGCTGGCATGCTATAGACTCTGAAGTGGCTGTAACAATCATATTGAAAGTTAACCTGTCAAGATTCAAAGACTGGCATATCTCTCAAAGTCTGTGTGTTCTGTTTTGTGTGTGTGTTTTGCAAACAGTATAGTAATCTTTGTATGAAGGCAGAAATCAAATGGAATCCTGGAAGTATCTTATGCATGCACAAGCCATTCTTTGTGGTTGTGCTGGCATGTCTGTTCATTGAAAGAAGCAAGGCAGTTAAATGTCTTGAGAATGCACAGCCTGCAGCTGGTCATTCCCTTTGGCTTGGCGAGACCTGCACAAGGAAAGAATAGCAAGTGACAAAAAGGCAAGTAGATGGGAATAAGTAGTGTTTGCAGCTATCATCTTAAGTTTGTATTTCTTTGTAATGTAATAGCTTTTTGTTGCCAAGAGTCCTAATTCTTGCCAAGCCGTACTCAGTCTGTATAAAGGATATCTGCTGGGCTTTTCACCTGAAGAATCTTAGGGTCTGAAACTTCATAGACTTTTATATAATGGGGATCAGATTCCAGGGTGAAAAATACAAAGCAGTTCACACAGGCATACTTTGTGATTTTCCAGAACGGAGGGTTTTATCTTAACTGTTTTGCGAGAAGACTTGGGAAGGACAACTGTATTTGAAAGAAATCTGTGGCTCAGACTGTGGAGGCACGGCTGGGATAAAACTGTCTCTGACCAATTGAAAGCTTCAACCGTATTTTTGAGATGGAGTTCAAGAGCTGCTTGAGGCTAATTCAGTGTCTTGTATACTGGTAATCAACAAGGAAAGAATGAAGGGCTGCACCAATACGAGCAGAGAGACGAAGAAAAAATGGTGCACTGGGAAAAGAATTCTTTATTCCTTTTTTAAATATAATATTTGTATTAGATTTTCAAAGATAATAAAACACATACACCACAAACATATAGACCAAAGACACTAACAAATTTACAAACATATAGGAATATTTTCTATACAGTAACAAAGCCAGGCAAAGAAAACAACATCATTTATAACATTTCAGCAGTGAACATGCACTTCTGATAGAACCATCTTTTGATATTTAACTTCCCATTTTGTTTAGCTACACATTTTGTTCAAGTTAGTTTTACAAATTATTCAAATTGATATTACAGGTTAATTTTCAAGTCACCATTCAGAATCAATATTCTCTCAAAGCAAGGTTCTAACAACCTCTCAAACTATTAATCCCATTTCATTACCATTTACTCCCAGAGTCTATAAATTTCTCTCACATATATATAATTTTTAGCCCATTATAGTTAGGATTATAGACTCAATTTTCCCAATTAGATTTGGAGCAGGAGTAATAAACCTTTCAAGTCACTTTTACTACATCTTATTACAGCTTAGCCATAAGGTTATAAGAGATCACAACTAAACACCCATTCTGTTACCACCACCTTTTAACTTTAAATTGCACATTTTGTTGAAATTGGTTTTTATTCTCATTAGGCAAGATTCTCGCAACATTCCTACTAGTTATTTCCAGTTATTCCCTTTTAGATTTATATATATACAAGGGGCGGGACCCGCGATACTCGCGGGAGGGGGGGGGGGGGGTGCTTCCCAGTTTGATGGAAGACAGGAGGGCCTGGCGTGATGTGGTCCATGGGGTCGCAAAGAGTCACAATTGACTGTGCGACTGAACAACAACTGGCCCCTTGGGGTCATCAACAGATGAAAAGAGTAATTATTGAGTAATTAAGTAATGTTCCACTAAATTTCTGCCGTTGCGCTATTTCCCCTGCAGTCACAAGAAACTGCCCCAAATGCTAGTGGCTTGCCTAGTAAATACTGGGTTTTTTACAGGTTTAAAATAAAGCAGATTCCCCCTGCCCTGAAGAATGGGCTGTGCACAAATACAGAATGATATCATGTGGAAACATTTTTTTTTTAAAAAAAGTCAGTTGTGTGGTTGAAACCTGGGGAATCCTTGGTGTGGAAGCAGCCCTAATGAGAATGGCTACAGCCCTGTACTGGCTATAAAGAAAACCATGATAGCAGCATCTTGTATTGGACCTAGTTTCTTTAAAACCATTCAGAAATAAGAACACAAGTATTGATTTGCTGGATCGGATTGCCTTCTTCACTACTTGATTCCTAACAGGTGCCTCTGCGAATTATGCAAGTTAGGCAGTCTTTAGTAGTCTGAATATGGAGTTTCCATTTTCAGCTGCTTTGACTGAGACCCACCTGCCAAGAACTTGTATTGTCATTTTAAAATAATGCGAATTAATGACCACTGCTACATCTTGTGGCCATGCTATTCCATCATTTATTTATGAATATATATACTATTTTTTGTATCCTGCCCTTCTTTTAAGAAGATCAGACCACCATTTTTATCCTTGCAGCTAACTCCTATTGAGTAAGTTAGCCTGAGAGACCGTGAGTTGCCCAAGGCCACAATGAGCTTCATTGCTGATGAACAGGGATTTTAATCTGCAATTCTCTTATTCAGCCCACTACTCTAGCCATTGTATTACACTGCCTATCAGATAAATTGTGTTTTGTATCCTCCTAGTCCAGGGGTAAACAGTCCTTTTGGTCTGCTAATATCCCTCCCTCTCAATGTCTGTCTATGAGGAGATCAACATGCTGGAAAACAAGGAGTGGAGATGGAGGTTTTACTTGACAAGACACACTGCGAGAAAGCTGAATCCCAGCAGCACTGCCAGGACTAAAGTGTAAAGAAAAAATCTTGCTCCTGGAAAATAAAGTGCATGAACACCATATAAAATTCAGAGGTTTTAGATCTGCACGTTTCCCCCCCCCCCCATAGCTAGCAATCCGCCTGAGCGGTGGGTGTTGCCTTCTGACACACTTCCAGTGATGTCAGGGGGTGTGACATATGCAAATAAGTTATGCTAATGAGCTCCTGCACCTCTTTTTCTATGAAATGACCCCTGGGTTCAACATAACAATCTAAACGCATGGAATGGGGGGAGGGAGGGATAGCAACTGGGTCTCTTAATCCCCCTCATCTTATTAAAGGCGGTAGGTATGGATGGCTCTACCCAGGGACTTCCGGGGTCCACAAAGTTTACCTTTTGTTGTTAGAATCTTAGGCTACATAAGTGTAAGTTTAGTATATTCTAATTTTATTTTGAGCCTTATAGCACATCAGAACATGACTATGGGGAGGGATAGAGAGGGAGGGTGGATGGGAAGGGGGGTAGATAGGTAAGAGGATTAGGTAGTTACTTAGAATCCAGTTACAGCAGTAAATGCTTAAGTTTTAATAATAGTGTAAAAGTAGATAAAATGCCACATAATAATAAATCGGGAGTGGAGCTGTGCAACAAAATTTGCATAATCTAATAGCCAGGTATAGAGGTAATGCTTCTACCTATTTAAGAAATGTAAACGTGGTGTGTCAAAAATATGAATATGTTATAATTTGGGAAGATTGCAATAGAGAACAATGGTGAAACCTTGGCACAGGTTCTAAGCATATTTAAGGCGTTAGTAATTTCAGGTCAGAACTTTGTGTGTTTTAAAGTAGATTTAGTTAATGTTAAAAAGTGCCATGCTCCAACACATAGCCCATTGTTGCACAATATTTTAAATATAGTGAGAAATAAGAGTTGAATTATTGTATCTTTAATTTCATTAAGTTAATCTGTTGATTAATAAATACTGAAGTTAAAATTGATCAAAAGAAATTTCATTTTATTAGGGTAAATTCACTATTTAAATTAATAACTGAATTCTATGGGGATTGATTATTATAGACAAATCAATATCTTCAAATTGCAAAATGGACAATGACTTAAAATTAATCTTGTAAACTGCCGTGGACTTAACAATAATATTAAATAGAAGAGAATTCATACTGGCTGAAAAAACAGAGCAGATATAATATTTTTGCAAGAGACTCATTTGAGAAATCATTTTTTTTTTGTTTAATTCCAATTGGTTTCCTAATAGCTTTGCAGTCCCAGGATCCTCACATGCAAGAGGAGCAGTGATATTAATAGCAAAAAAAGGTTAGATTTGAATGCCATGCAGTTGAACAAGATCTAAATGGCAGGTTCCTATTTTAAAAGGTTTGCTAAATGGATCTAAAACTACATTGGTGACTGTATACGCAACTAACATAGGACAGCTGCAATTCATAGCTGAAAAAATGCAAAAGCTAAAAAAATTTCAAGAATGTCCTATAATTTTGGGTTCCAATTTTAACTATTTAATGGATTTAGAGTTAGTTCATCAGCCAGAGTGGTTAAAAAAACCAAAAACAAAAGGCACAACCAAGGTACAGGACTGGCAAAAATAATGCAGGATGCAAATCTAATAGATGTTTAGAGGACGTTACACAACAATGAAAGAAACTACTTTATGCAACAATGAAAGAGATATTTCTCCTCCCATTTTCAGACACATACAAGAAGATTATATCTTCATATCATCCTCCCTAATCAACAGAGGCAAATCAGCTGAAATTGGGCTCCCATTTCTCCTCCCATTTTCAGACCCATACAAGAATAGATTATATCTTCATATTGTCCTCCCTAATCAACAGAGGCAAATCAGCCGAAATTGGGCAAAAACACCGGTCAAACCATGTTCCTGTATTATGTCATCTAATTACTCTTAACAATAAGGCTTTAGATGGAGGCTTAATAATTTTTATTAAAGGACAAAAAATAGTGGAAGAGATAGAAAGAGAGATCCAGGAGTATTTTGATCATAATTTAAACAAAGAAGTGCCCTTGTCCACAATCTGGGATGCCTTCAAGGCGGTAATCGGGGGAGAATAATTTCTATGTTGATAGTCTACAAGAAAAAAAGAAAAGTTAAAACAGGAACTAATTGATGAAATAAGAATATTAGAGACTAGACATAAAAAACACTTGTGGCCCTAATCTCTATAAGAAACTCTTGGAGGAATGGGTATTATTGGTATAAAAGTTCTAGATCGGCACATTTATTGGCCTGGAAAGTCCAGAAAAGATCCTCAGAAATAGGGGTTAAAGTAATAGAGAACTCTTCTGGTGTTATACATCTACTAACTAAATAATACAACAATTTGAAAAAAAGTATTCAGAATTATACAGTACTAGTGAACCTTCCCCTGATTTAATCAAAAAGTTTCTAAAATCTAGCTCACTTCTTCAGACTTTAACTGAAACTTACCAACAATACTTGGAGCAACCAATTGACGAAAAAGAATTAGAGGAAATTATCAAAAAAAATGAAGAATAACAAATCACCAGGGGTGGATGGGTTTACCTCTGAATTCTATGAACAATTTAGCTCAACACTACTCCCTATTATAATATATGTTTACAATCATGTTCTAAATTCAGGAAAAATTCCAGATATGTGGAATATGGCAAAGATTATCA